CAACTAGACTGAAGAACAAAAGGACAGCAACTTGTCTGTTCCCCTTCCCCCAATTCCCCAGCGCTGTTCCCATCCCCCAATTACCCAATAAAAATCTTAAAAAAAAAAAAAGAATGATAGTATTTCCCTTAATATTTTGACTTATTTAATAAGTTACTTAATAGTTCAGACAAAAACTGCATTCTTGATACCTTCAGAAAAATCTTCCCTATAGTCCTTGGTGGGTGTAAATATAACTAATCAGAGTATCATTTTTAAAATTATCATGTACACATTAAGTTCTAAACTTCAATTTTGATTTGAGCATCTAGTACTTACTCAAGGAGGAACCATGTAGAACTGCGCAGTTGGGACAGTGATACAGGTCAATGTCAACAGCATGATGTTCTTCTACTCCAACACAGCTAAGATAAAAAAAAAATAAAGCCAATATGTAAATAAGTTGAAAATCTTTAACTTATAACAGATTGGTTGGAATTTAGCTGAAAAATGTATAACAATCTCACTAACAAATTTTGTGGAGTACAGAAACATATGCAAGGATAAATTTTATTCTTTTCCCTACACACTTGCTAATAATTGTGGGGAAGAATACACTCAATACATGGGAAGTGATTCACGATTAGCAGTAGTAGAAATATCAAAAGTAACTCAATTATAAGCCATAAGACCCTCAACCATTATGTAAATACTACTTATTATGGACTCAATATTTGTGTACCCCAAAGTTCACAAGCTGAAGCTGTAACCCCCAGTGTGACTGTATTTGTAGAAAGGGCCTCTAAGGAAGTAATTAGGTTAAATGAGGTCATAGGGTGGGGCCTTGGTCCCACAGGATTAGTGTCCTTATAAGAAGGGACACCAAAGAGCTTGCTCATGCTCTCTGTCTGCATGCACATGCTGAGGAAAGGCCATATGAGTACAAAGCAAGAAGGTAACCGTCTGCAAGCCAGGGAGAAAGCCCTCCCCAGAAACCAACCCTGGTGGACCTTGATCTGGGACAGCCAGCATCCAGAACTGTGAGGAAAAAAATTTCTGATTAGCACTCCTAGTCTTATAGCATTTTGTTATGGCAGCCCAAGCCAACTAAGACACGAACTAACTTTAAAATATGGCTGTCGGGCCGGCCGAGTGGCGCGATGGTTAAGAACTCGCTTGGGATGCCAGAGGGCCCCGGTTCGGATCCCACATATGAGGGCCAGTGACACTGCNATGGTAGAAAGTAAATCCCAGTTTTTAAAAATCTCATGAGAAAAAATCGAAAATCGTTAAGCAACCTTCCTAGAAAATCCTGTTAAGGCATGGTGTGTGTGTGTGTGTGTGTGTGTGTGTGTGTGTGTGTGTGTGTGTGTGTGTGTGTGTGTGTGTGTGTGTGTGTGTGTCCCTCATTTAAAATCACTTCTAAAATTCAAGAATATTTAATTCCAGGCTTTTCCCTTACATATATGTATAGATACACACCCCATTTTCTTTTCAATTGGGATCATTATGTTTATTCTGCTCACTTTTGTTATTATATCACAAGTATTTTCTCCTTATTAACTATTCAAAAGCAATTTAAAGGCAACCTAGAACTATTTTAAGGTAAAGATATATCATATTATAATCATTTTTTTAAATTCTTTCTGAATCTTTCTTTGAACAAAGTTGAGATTAATATTCACACACAAAAATCTGTTTCCCCCATTAATTCTTTGGGATGAATTCCTAAAAATGCTAGAAGACTCAGTATTTTAAAGATACTTGCATATATTGCAAAACTACCTCCAGAAAAGTGGCAGGTAACTCACTGGTAAGAGTTTACCAGTGCATATGATAAAGATACTACATTGTTTTAATGTTCATTTTTGCAGAACAGATTAGATTCGAATTAGATTAGATTGGGGCTTAGACAGCTATGGGTTCAAACTCCAGCTCTGCCCAACAGCTACATGAAACAGCTTGTTAGATCACTTTTCTCACATCATGCTATTATAAATATCAAAGGAAATACATAGGTAGAGTACTAACTTAGCATAGTGCCTGGTACCCAGTAAGCGGCCAATTGCTTTTAAATGTGCTGGATGTTAACCAAAGGTTACAACTGTCCTGTTGAATCAACATGCTTGACATATAAAATCAGCCACTGCAAGAGCTGACTGAATTTCTTAAAGGAAGAAGGCCAGTGAATGTTTTAGTAGTGGCCACAGCAAAAGGAAAAAAATTTTAAGTGGATTGCACATGCCTGAAAAACAATGAGAATATATGTTTAAGTGTTAGGTTGTTTTTTGATACCTGCCCTCAAATAGAGTTCTTAATTCCCATTAAGAGGGTAAAGTCTAAAGTCACCCTATTAAGTGGGTATTATACCGTCTAGATGGTATCTATTATAAGGATTCCTGGGGAACTCCGAAAGTAACAGGAATCCCTGGGTGGCAAGCAAGAAAAGCTTAATAGCAGAGGACAAGGGGCCAAAGGGATTACCCAAGTTGGGGGTGGAAGGTAAAGGGTCGGAAAGGTGAGCCTTAAAGCAAGGTGAAAGAGATTGCTGGATCTTGGGCATTTTCCTTATGGGTACTTAAAGTCGGATTTCTGCCCAGAAGAGAGGCAATGCCTGATTTTAGGCTAGTCAAGGACAGGAAGCACACGAAGGGCCAGGTAATAGTCTTCCCTCGGAAGCACTGTTATTCCAAGTGCAGGTTGTGATCTATTATGGATTGTGAAATCAATTTAGTGAGCATGACAAGCTTTTTAAAAAAATTAAAGAGTGCATCACATGTAGTAATATCTTAAACACTACATTCATTATTCTGCCTCATAGTAGCCCACTTAATATTTCATAGAATGAAATTTAAATTATTTCATTTTGGGGTTATATACTTAAATTCTAAACTAAATCTGTTATCAATTTTAGTTCTGTTTTTCTTCTTTAGATAACAACCTAGTATTATTTACTTCCTCCAAGAATTACACTCAGTCAATAATTATTTGAAGTTATATCTACATACTTCAATGCTACACAAAATAAAAACCTTTAAAAACATTTATGACAAGAAATTAGCCAAATACACATGTAACAATTCTACCAACCTGCTAAACTCAAATTTTATACTGTGTAGTAACAACGAAATAGATATTCTGTATTTTACAAGGAAATATTTTAATGCATTCATATAGCTTAAATTTATAAATCTGGTAAAGTTTAACATTTCTAACAAAACACATGAGCAGTCAGTTGTTAGTAGTCTCTTTTTAAAAATTACTTGCCCATAACCTCAAAACAAAATTTCTATTTAAAAACAAAAGTACTAGGAAAAAGGCTACATTCAAAATAAACAGGTTGCACAGGTTACTTTCATCTGAATATGCTTTGTTATCAAGGAAACGGTTCCGTTCAGTTCTAAAATGACTAAGTCTACAGTTTCTCCCTTTAGTTTAATGGACACAAAAACTCTAGTTTGCAGTCTACTTTTTAAAGAAATAAAAGTAGTTATAACATAATCCAAAGCCTTTAAAAATCTTCCCTTTCACATTTGTATAACAATAATTAATTTTTCAATCTATTTTTCTGAGGCACTGGTAAAAGGCTAACAATAAATATATTTTATATGTAATGCTGGTTCTCTCCAGAGGACATGAGCTTCCCTGCCTGTGCGCTGCTGGCTCAGGAACAAGAGTATTGGCAGAGAGTTGGTCTGGCCTTTGTCTTCCTCGGGATGGGGACAATAGTGGACAGGTTTCAAGCAGAGAGGATGGCGGCAGGACCCCAGGCCATACTCAACATGATCATCAAATTCAGAAAACAGAAGTAATATTTTAGCATATCACTGCCCTAAATTTCTCCTGAAAATATAATGCATGTCTGTGCATTTAAGTAGTCTTACTCTGTACACTGTCCCAAAATACTACTGAAAGATCACTTAAAATATTATTTATAGAGATAAGAAGTTAAAATCAGTTTTCAGAGTCAGAAAAAATTTACTTTATCACACTTCTCAAACTGAAGCTTTAAAAATACGTACTTGAGTTTGGGGGCATTGCACTAGCAATTAAGAATGACAGTATTTGGGGCCAGCCGAGTGGCACGTTGGTTAAGAGCTGGTTTGGGACCCCAGAGGGCCCCGGTTCGGATCCCACATATGAGGGCCAGTGACACTGCCCTCTACAGCTAAGATGCTGAACAACAGCTCAACCTGGAGCTGG